AAAATTGAAGAATATAATATAACAATTAATACTGAAAATAAGGATGAGGAAGATTTCAACATTCCCAATGAACTTATTACAGAACACTACAGCATTATTTATTGGGCCTCAAGATTCTCTTCCATAAGAACTGATCCAGATAAATTGGTTAAACTCTTATTAGAGATCAACAGACGCCCAAGAGAAAGAGTCAAACAAAAACCCCACTTAGCCATATTTGTCAAGTTCGAAGCAAGAGATAGAAGCTTTTTTAATTTCAGCAAGATAGCAGATCTCAAAGACAGCTATCAAAAAGAATACGAAAAACTCGAAGGAAGATTTCAAAGAATTTACTGAACAAAACACAAAGTGGTAGAACTCAATAGAGAAGTTGGATCCAAAATAAAACTCCTCTTAAATGCTAGCCTCTTTATTGTCTACTTAAGATATATTAATATTTTTGATCTCAATCTATACCTCTTAATACAAATCATGAAATATGAATGCAACTTTCTGTGTTGACCCAATAACAGTAACAAACTAGTTTATTATGACTTGTTATAAAAGAATAGGAAAATGTTTAAGGACAACCTATCAAAACTACCTCTCTCCCCAGACTTGGTCCCGGCACAAATAAAAGTTAAGATACCACACAAAATTCTAATTGTGGACAGAAGCACCATAGCAAGTATAGCAGGCTCTCTCCACACTTACTACAAATTTAATTACCTTCCAGACTCATACTTCTCAATACTTCCTAACTTACCTGATGAACCGAATAATCTTCTCAGAGAAGTGGCACATCTCTTTCCAGTCAAAAGAAGAAAAGACCTTAGAAACCTAGGTGACATGATCAGGGAACTCAAGAGGTTCTTTACAATCTCACCCAAAATTCCATCCACTTACTTTGATTACCCACCTTCAAAAATTCCTCTTCTTACTTCTTATGACAAACTCGAACCTGAATTCATATATCTCTTCCCACTTGACACATCTATCCATAATATTAAAAAAGTTGTTAAAAACCTTAGAACCAGATATTTCTTTGAACAACTTTTCTCTAACCTTTTCAAGTGAAAAAATCTTCTCTCAACATTTCCATCAATCATCAAGCAATACAAACTCAAACTAGAAATTCAAATTCCTATCCCAAACCATCATGATATGCAATTCTTAATTAAAAACCTTAGAAATAACTACTGGTTTTTCTTGCTTCTTGGACCACACTGGGTTGATCCACAAATATCCAGACTAACAAACTCAAACTCCCATCTAAATTGAAAAATATTAATCTAAGCCTGAATATCAACTGTCTATTACACAGTGATCCAGACTTTAAGGAAAAAATCAAAATTCTATACAACCATTATAAATTTCAAAGAATTCCAAAAAGTTGGTTTGTTAACCCTCGTATCAACCTACCAGAGAGTCTTGAAGAGATTAACAGAATCCTAAAAGACAAAAGCCTAATGCCAATCGAGTTTCCTTTGATTGACAATGACTTTCTTCCAATCCACATATATCAACTATGCCAAACCTTTTATTTCTCTAAACTCCCCAAATCTCTTATTACTAAAGAAACGCTCACCGAATTGGAGTTTGATCTTATCCCCTTTTTAGTCTAATCTTATGATAAGTACAAACACTAATAACTCTGAAACAGTCATTTCAACCATTACTTCATCCCTACATACTAATTCCCATATCCAAACAATACCACTTATTTTATTCAACCACACAATTTCAACAACACCTCCAACCTTATCACAATTACTACCATCAATACCAGAGGTCTTAATAATCCAGTCAAATTTAAAGTATTAATTAACACTACAGACAGCAGATCAATTCTCCTGTGTATCAAAACAAAACTCAAAAAAGAAGATTTTCATCCAACCAACATTAATGGAAGAGCTATTATCTTTGGCAAATCCAATACTTCAAAGAATGATACTATGATAGTTATCGGCAAAGATCTATCACCACATGTATTTAAAATATGCAATGTATCTGAATACTGCTCCTCAGCTGTTCTGAAATTCAAAGGGAAATGCAATATTCTTTTTACTGTGATTTATCTTCCACATGAAAAAAAGAAAGAGACCTAGCTATTAGACAAATTCATCAAGCAATCAAACATGTTGTTTTATAACAAACTTCATCATCTAATTGCCGGAGACTTCAACTCATATCTCAAAGACAGCCTTTCCATTGAAGCCAAAACCTTGCATTACAAACAACTAATATATAAACATCTTGCTAACTATATAGATATAGGGCAACAATACGACAGCAAAGCATTTATATACTTTACTGCTACTAGCGCTTTCTGTATAGACCAAATATGGGTGTCAAAAAATCTCACTCCTAAGGTAATTTGGTATAAGGTGCTAGAAGTTGATTTAATCTCAACAGACCATCAAGCATTATCAATAAAAATAGACTATTTCAAATTTAGAAAGGTTAAACCAAAGTTCAAGTTTGATCTAGAAAAGACTCTCCAAAAAAATATTCTAGAATTCATAAAGAAATTGGACTTATGGTTTACACTTCTACCATCACCCAATTGGCATGACTTTCACAATATTTGCATCAACACTCTCAACAAACATATCAAGAAATCCAAAGTCAACTTCATTAAGAAAGACCACCGCACTAATACCAAGAAAAAACTTAAAAAATAAACTAGAAAAATTAACAAAACAATGATTCAACTTAAAAACAATTATCCATTTCCATCCCTCCTTGATCAAGAACTTTTATCTCTTTATGGGATTTTTAATCACGACTCCAATATATTAATCAAAGGCCTCCAGAAGCTAAAGAAACTTCTAATTAAGGAAGCTCTAATTCAATCACAACAAGAAGCTATCGAAGAATACCGCTTAAATTTAGAAAACATGATAAAGAACTTTTATAGCAAATCAAAAGCTATATCAAGAAAGCCCTTGGCACAATTAAACCCAAGATCGACCTTCGTAAGATATACAACTCAAATAATCAACTAGAGAATGATTCAGATCTAATTCAAAAAACAATTAATAAATATTTCAAAAATATCCTATGACCAAGAAACTTCAACCTCAGTAACCATCCGAATTGAGAAGAAATTTACTCATCAAAAACAGTAAATCAAGAAGTTTACAATAAGTTAACAATCCCTCTTGAACCTTCTATCATCAAAGAAGCTATCTGCAATCTTCCCAGATATAAAGCTCCAGGAAAATCAGGAATCAGCTATATATTATCAAACTTATGGAGAAAAAAACAATTCTTTATTTGACATTTATCTTCAATGATATCTTACAATCCACCAACATACCTGAACAATGAAAACAAACTATTGTTACTCTCATCCCAAAGAAACTAATTTAGAGCTATAAACTAAATGACACCAGACCTATCTCCCTTATCGACTCTACAAGAAAAGTATTCACAGGTATAATCAATAAAGGATTAATCAAAATAATCAGGGAAAACAATATTCTATATGAATACAATTGTGCTAGTCTCCCAGGTCAGAGCACCATGGAACCATTAACAATCATTAGCTTAGCTCTTCATATAGCTAATGTTAAAAACAAAGAATTTTGGTTTGCCTCACTAGACATAGCAAAGGCATTCAACTTAGCACCTATACTAGCAATTAAAAAGTCTTTAAAAAGAATCTGCTGTTCAAACCAAATTATCAACTTTCTTATAAATATTCTCAGCAACAGAGAAATTTCTTTCAATACACCCTTTGGACCTACTGAATTATTTAAAATCAACAATGGAGTAGAATAAGATGAAACTCTATCACCCATTATCTTGTCATTTTCTATGATTTCCTCATTACCAAACTAGCTTAATACCATCCAGTTAAAGGGTGATCGCTCCTAATATCTTAGCCTAAATGGATGATTTAGCACTTATCACCAATCCAAGCAAGGGATGAAAGACCTTCTCACAACAACTGATCAGTTTTTTGCAATTAATAGTATTACATGTAACAAGAACAAAACCAAAATTATCAACAACATTAAAATTAAAAGTGGCATCCAAAAAACAATCAAATTTGATAATCACCAAGTCCAAATCCTTAAACCCTATGAGAGTGTAAAATATTTTGGCACAATAATTTTTTTCAGGAAATTTCTTAGGACAAACAGGAAAGCCTTCATCCAAATATCAACTCAAATCATTGACAAGCTGTCCAAATGCAATTAGAAAGAGGAGATCAAGCAGCAAATCAGTAATTGGGTAATCATGAGGAAACTCGAATACTTCCTGCTCTCATTATTTCTCAACCAAACAAATTTTAAACAGCTCCAAACCAAAATTAACAAACTCATAAAGTCAGCTTACAGAATCTCTTCCAAATGTTCCAACACAATACTAACCAGCCGAAGTGGCCTTAACCTATCAGCAATAAAAGAAAGGCAAAAAACCACATTGGTAGAAAACTTTATATCCAAACTTGCCATTCCATTGGTTAGGAAATACACTACAGTCAAACCTCTTTATACCAATATTCTTTATACCAATAACTGCTTATACCGATAAATTTTCATTTACTCAAATCAATTCTATTATATTGTACTGCTTATATCGATAAACTCTAATAAATCTCTTTATTAGCTATACCGATACAATCTTTGGAACAGTTAATTGGTATTGATATGAAATTTTTTCTAATTATACCAATATTTTTGTGCAACACCAAAATTGGCCAATCAACTTGTCTCAGTTATTATATACAATAGCATAACGGGCTTTCATCATGATTGGTTTATTTTTGGTTTTTATTGGTTAACAAAATTAAGTTTCATGTAACAATTGTAAAATGTTAATTAATATATTGATACTTAATAAAGTTCATTAAATTGTTTTATATTATCTAGCAAAAAAAAAAAATAATAAAATATCTGCACAAGAATAAATCTATGAAGTTAGCTCTAACCGAGTATCAAATAATTTCATTTTCTTCTTCAGTTAATATTAAATTTTAAGATTCATGAGCTAGAATTTAACAATGATTCCTAAAAAGTAATTACCAATAATAACACTGATCGTTCATATCTTCTTTCCAATAGCAAGGAATTCGCTCCCATTCCAAAAGACATTCCATTTTCGGTGTTGCTTTCTCTATTATTTTCATCTTCATTATATGAAGTATCATTGAAAATTGAAGTTACAGGAGATTCTTGAGTAACAAATTTCCCCATCAATGAATCTCCAGTGTTTATGAATCCTGAACCAAATATGTTTTTATTCAGCGGAGAAGACTCATAATTTGAAAATCCAAGCGACTTCAAGCAAAATATTAATTGAAATATTTACTTATTGAAACACTATATACATCAAATATTCTTCGAGTGATCAAATTTGCATTGAGAACTTACTTTGTTCTGTAATTGAAACGGGCTTGAAATCGAATGATCAAATATTTTGGTGGCTGCTGATATGTAACCACTACCAAACGTTCTAGTGTTCTGACCAGTCGAAGTTAGATTGTCACTAAGATTTTTCTTGCTCACTATTTTGGCACCAACTTCTAAGTTGGAAGTTTTATTTGAATCCTCTGTAAAACATTGTAATGATTCTTGTATTGTTGAACTGTTTTTGCCCGAACCTTCTGTGTTATCAACTTTGATATCTGACTCTACAGTAGGTGAATTATCGACTTGTTTTACTTCCAACTTATTTGATTTCTCTACATTTTCAGAACTGTCATTAGCCACCTTACTGGAATTGAATTTGTAAGCCTCGTTCCTCTGTGCTAGCTCGATGACTATGAAACTTTGGTTGTTTAACAACATGGATTTATCATTATTTTTAGTTTCAGAATAAACTGCAAAACTCTTGTGCCTTGGAATCGATTCTGCCTGCATATTATTTGTAACTATCTTGGTAAGTTTCCGGGGTATGCTGGTTTCCTTTCCTGTTTCAACTTCGTTGTCTACGTACAATTTGGTCATCACACACTTTTTTGATGAGTTGACTGGCAAAATTCCACCTTTGCCAGAAGCAATGTCCTTTGACACCGATTTTTTGTTACCAGATATATCATTAGATCCCTCAGCAATTTCATCGTTGTTGCCAGGTGGTGCCGTTAATGGGATTCATTGGCTAATGAGTCAACATTAATGACTCCTGAAGACTCTCATTCTCTGTTGCCATGTGCATTGACTTTCATTGTCTCTACTCTTTCCGCAAGTAAAATCCAGCCCCTTTTTTTCTATTTCATAAATTACTTTCAGAGTAAATAATAATTATCGCCACCTGGTGTCCTCGGAAAATCCTCCTCTACGTTTCAGCAACTTTGTCATGTTGCCTGATCGATTCAGATTTTTCTTAGTAAAATTTGTAAAACATCGAATTATAAAAAAATCCTACTTCTTTTTTGATCAAACCGTCATTTTGTCGCCTTCAGTTTGAGTCTGAAAGAAAAAATAAAATAAAAGAAATAAGTTGAAGGAGGAGTAGAAAAAAAAAAAAAAAAAACTTTCAAGTATGCATAAAATAACCACTACTAAGGTCTCTGTCTCAGCAATTTCGAGTGAGCCTTCATGTTTCCTCTTACATTTACATCCTTTACATATTTAACACTCGTCTTTCATTCACATTTCTGCATTCACTTTCTCAACGTACAAGAGCTTAGGCCAATATATTAAAAGCAAGACAATTTAATAAGTAAAAAAAATAATTTCAATATTTAATAGTTATAAAATTAATACTTAATACCTTTGTTCATTGCCAAAATTATGTGTGCTTCTTGATTGTCTACCAAGCACAGAATTTATAAAGTAAAATGCAAAGTTTCTGATTTTTTTAGGCTTACCTTTCCCGAATTTATATTTGTGATCCCAAATCCAAAATTGGTCTATCATAATAAAGCCCACTATACTATATACAGTATGTATTAACATTTGCATATATCACTATATGTACTGTTAAAGTGAAAAATAAACTATATAAATAAAGAGAAAAATAAAAGTAAAATGAAGTAGAATATAAAAAGTAAT